AAATAATGGAAAAGGAAATAAATTGAATTTATTATGGAAAAATCGCTTTGTATGGTTTTAAAATGCGCTGTGTTACGACGAATCACTTTTGTAAACAATTCTTATTGGACCACTGAACATTCTTATTGGAAAGAAAAAATAAGAAAGTAATAAAAATTTTGACAATTTCGATAGAAAAAGGTTTATAAGTATATATGAATTAAAATATTACTTACTACAGAGAACATCAATGTTAGTTTGAAATTGAAATTAAATGTAAATAATGGAAAAGGAAATAAATTGAATTTATTATGGAAAAATCGCCTTGTATGGTTTTAAAATGCGCTGTGTTACGACGAATCACTTTTGTAAACAATTCTTATTGGACCACGAAAAGAAAAAATAAGAAAGTAATAAAAATTTTGACAATTTCGATAGAAAAAGGTTTCGCGACAAAAATTTTACACCTAATTTACTAAATAATTTACTTTTGAACACTTATTAGAAATATAAGCACAGGTTGAAAAACACTGCACTAGAAGACATAAAACTAAGCTATAATATGCTTTTTTTTTTCGAAGTGAACATTGATCGAGTAATCTATTTGTAACTTAATACATGGCACGGTGAGATCATCGTTCATTATTACTATAACAGTATTTTTAGCAGATATTTATTACAAAACTCGCAGATATTTTAACCAATGAAATTAAAGATTTATATTTTTGATGTGGTTTCATTAGCTTGAAGAAATTTCTGAATTTATTTTATAAAATAATGAAATGCATTTTCGTTTTGTAATAAAATGAGGAAAATGTTTAATAATAGAAAACCTGTTTTTTTTTAATATATTTTTGTGTGGTGACTTGCCATACACTTTATTTTGATCGATGTTTAATGGACAAACATGTTAAATGAATAAAGAGAGCTGTTTACTCCGGCAAATCGTTGATCATCGAAGTCGACGATTTCCATCCCATGATGACGTAGATGGCGTCCTTGATGTCGTCCATCGGTACGTCCATGGACAACAACTCGTGGTACATCTTCTTGTGTTCACTGGAAACCATCATCTTCTCCATCAAATTGTAGACGGTGTCGCTGGAGATGGCGTCGTAGAATTTCCTGAACACCGGGCTGTTATCCAATTTATCAGCGAACATATCCATCAACTTCTCGTAGGGAATCAAGCTGTCCACCTCGGAGATCACGCTCCCCATACTCCTCCTCTCATCATCGGCGACGTCGATGTTCAAACCTGCTATATAGTTCCAAGCGATCTTCTCCCAAACCTCACAGTCGAGTCCGGCTTCCTTGACGATTTTCAGGATAGTCTTTACCGATTGCCTAGACTTCAAAGCCTTATGCATCGTCCTCCATTCGGTGCTTTGGAAGTACTTCAAAGCAGCTTTGTAACCTGGATCCGTCTTCAGATGATCGAAGTGCACATCCTTGATTTTATCTATAGGCAGAGCCGTGAGAAAGTCCATAAGCTCCTGGTGGATGGTCATATAGGGCGCTGCGATAGTCGACCCCAGAACCGCCAAAAGTACCAAACAGATCTTCATCTTTAAACGAAAAAAACAACATTAAATAACTCCAAGGTCTCAATCTCTGACACGACATTTAATTTGTTTACGACTTACGTTTTAGTTGTTTTTTTTTTAATTGCGAAAATTATCTCCAAGCAGTGGAAAACTCTGCAATGAACTGCACAGGCACCCGACGTCCGTACTTATACAAGTCGAAGGATCCACCGTGCAAAGGTAAACAAGCGGAATGATTATTCATTTGTGTAATTATTGTGTTTTAACCGTGCGGACGTCGTTAATTTTCGATACGTTGTTTTCGCATGGTGTCCTCTTGCCATCTTTCCAACTCAACATTCAATTCCATATCATTTCGGATATGAGCCGAAATTCTATACAATTATACAAAGTAATGATCTCGTTCCTAGTTTTGACACACGAAACATGTACAAACACAATTCGATACACTTCATATTACAATGGTGAAACACTAATCAGTCATCAAGTTTTAGGTAACTTGAAATATGTAATTGGATTTCTTCGCCTTAGAACTTCATATGAGAATCATGGAAATTATATTTCTATAATTTCAATATTCATTTTCCTATAACTAATTAAGTCTTAAATTTTGAACTTACATTTTTTTTAATCTTTTTATGAATTATACTAATTATATAAGTAAAATATGTTTTTTTTTTTTTGCATTTTAACCAATTATTATCAACTAAAGTCTGAGTTTATTAGTTTTAAAAAAAATCAACTTGTTAGAATTAAAAAACAAAATTTACAAGTATTTTTATTTATATTGCAACAAATTTACATTGTTGAAAGTAAATTAAAGTTGTTTTTTTTTTGAACAAAGAAAAGTCAAAATGTTGTAATTTAGATAATTAATAATTAATTAAAAAAGTAAGTTAAATGTTGTTTCTTAAGCAAAACAACTTTACGACAGTTAATTAAATTCTCTATTGATTTATCCCTGATCTAAATATAATATATTCTTGTTGACCTTTATTTATTTATTATTTCAGATCTAATAGTAACACATTTTTTTGTTGTTGTTTATATTATCAACATTTTCTGACGTAAGAAAACAATTCAATTGAAAACAATTTCTCGCAATTATTTAAGATATAATAATATTTAAACGTTCATTTAAACATAGACATTTCAACATTTGATTATTACTACAATTAGAATAATATGTTTTTACGTTTATGAATTTGTGATGTAATAATGTAATATTTTAAATTAAAGAGATAATTTAAGTTAAATTCTATATAAATATTACAACTTTAATTGGTGCTATTAGAAAAATATGTTTTTTTCAATGTGTGATGTAATAATATGAAGAAAATTTGACTGTAGATTTGTAATAGGTTTAAAATAATATTTCAGAATCAAAGCGACATTCAATATAAACTCTGGTAAAGTTCTGTTGGGACTTTCGAACCGCTCGACTCGTGTTTGGAAACTGTAATTGATTCCAAATCGGGATCGTCGGTGCACGAAGTCGCACCGCAATTATGATTAGACTTTTAACTTCTCATTTTTTTCTCTACTTCTTTGTAAGCTTTTGAATGAAATGAAATGTCACACGAGACGATAAGGGCCTTGCGTCGTGCTACTTTCTCCTTGCAGATCGATGCACATAGTGTACGTGTGCTATGGTACAGATAGTGGTGTACAGTGCGTTTTCTTCGCCTGCTATTACTACTGCAGGATCGAATGGTGCCGGAGTACCGTTGGAATGCCGCCTCGGGGTCCCCGGACTACCCAATGGTAAACCCCACCATTCTTATGGCCGACATACCAACGACATACACACACCTTTAAATACAATCTCTCTCCATCCACCAACATTCATACCACACCGAAACAAAACAAAACAAAAAAATGAGCAAGAATCCATTAACGACAACAGCAACAAGTACAGCGAAAAAAAGTAATAGTAATAGCACACAAAAGTACAAAAAGAAACTAGAATAAGAACTAGTTTCTTATTCGAATGCCTATTTACACTAATTAAATAAATAAGAATGAAATGCGTTAAGTTTAGTACTTAAGTTGAATTGAGTGTAAAGAATTAGTAACTCAATGAAATCTTAACTTCAATGAAGCGTTTTAATAGATTCTTTCTTTTATTGTGCTTCAATGAAGAAAATATTTATTGTATCTTTGTTTTAAATTTTTGTTCAATTATTAAATTGAAATGAGGACAAGTTTTTCTTCAAATATTCTGAATGTCATTGATCCTTTTTACAGTAATTATAAAAAGATTCAAAATCTTAATAACTTGAATTTTAGTTTGAAATTTATGAAATTTTCAATGAAGAATGATTTTATATTTGCTTTAACTTTAATTGATTAAAAGTTTTGAGTAATTATTAACAAGTAATCAAGTGATCAGATTTTTTTGTAATTTTTGAGAATGAACAAATTTCTTAATTGAATATCATTGATTTTATTAATTTAAAAAAAAAATGCATCATAGAAACTACTGTTGATAAAATGTTTCTTTTTTATATATATTTATTGCATTTTGTTTGGAAATTTTGTAAAGAATGCAGATTTTCTTTATATTTACGAGTTTTCGAAAATATTTGTGTGTCTCGTTTGAGATATTGGCTGAAATCCAGTCTCGCTGAATAATTTTATTATTGAAATTTTGCAGCTCGTTGCGAAACGCCACGAATTTAACACCATCGTCGGGAATAATAATGCATAATAATTCACGGTCTTGCGAAATGCATATAATTTATACTTGCCAACTAAGGTAAAACATCTACTTTGAGTTTGCAAGATTACAGAGTGATTTTCTGATCAATAAAACAGACTTTTCTTTTACAGAAACACTTATAAATAATGAAATTTATTGCAAAATTTATACAAATTAAATTGTAATTTTTTTTCTAAAATAGAACTTTTAGAACAATTAAATCATCTTTGATTTATGTTTCGACTGTTTCTAAATACTTCTTCAGAGTTTTAAACATTCTTGAGAATCTACGTTTTTTTTATATTTGTATATTAGAATTAAGTGACTAAGAAAGTTAATATTAAATAACAATTATTCTTTTTTTTTTTCAGATGTTCGGACTTGAATTGTGACGATTTCTTGGTGCAGGAAGATGGTGCAAAGAAATAATTTCGTAGCTGCGTTTATGTTATTGTTGGTCTTTTTGTTGGGAAAGGGAAAGAGGAAAACGGCGGATTGATTGGAAGAGGTCTTGTCTTGTCTGGTAAGAAGGCAAGAAGAAGGTAGGTAAGTATAAGTGAAGAAGTGAGAAGTTACAAAACAGGCACGGGTGCGCCTCTGACACACTCTGGTCGTCCCGTGGACAGGGAACAACTAGCAGCGAGTGGTCGCCAGTACCGCGATGGTACCACACGTGGTACTCATCTGCACCAGCAGCTTCGAACATTTCTAACTCAACAACACCGATCGAACAATCCAATCGCGCGTTCGCGTTTTTTCCGCAAACAAATCTAATCATCAGCAACAAACAACAAAACGAAATTACATTTTGGATAACACGAATTCGCAAGGCTCACACTCCTAAGGTAAGGCTGATATGCACAATTACACAAAGATTCGATATGCGTGACCGATGATTACAGTGATATTTCGCGAATACATGAGCACATGGTAAACATATTAATCACTGTGTTACGTATTAGGTTTTGTTTGTTTTTAAGTTTTAATTTTTAACTTTTATTCCCAACAATATTAATTAACTGATTTCATCGACTTCCAAAAATTACGTTATTGTTGTTTTAACTGTTTAAACAACTTTTTTTTAATGTATTCAAGACATTATTTCGGAATTCAGAGGTCAACCTTTCACCGACAAATAGTTGTGTAACTTTTTTACTTTAATTAAAAGACTTTTCATGATTGACGAGCTCATGTAATTATGAAATTGATTATTCAACCAAATTTCTATTTTCTAATCCAAATCTATTGATTTCTTATTAAAATGTTTACATTTGCTAGTTTAGACTTTTGCTTCTCATTCCAATATTTAACTAATTTTCTACAAATTAATGTAATTTTAAAACTTATTACTTCAGTTTCTTCAATTCATTATATAAATAGTAATTAAGCAAGAAAAAAATAAGACAAATTAACTTTATTATCATTATCATTAATTTAATAACTATTTAAGAAAATTATTTTTCAATTTGTTTGTTTTTTTCGTACATTTAAATAACTATAATTTCCAACTCAATTAATTTCACGTGGAAATACCTTATTTATGAATACGGCCTTTCACTAAACGCGGAGAGAGAAAAATAATAAATACAGATACAAAAAAAAAACAACAACTAAAGTGTGCGATACAACCTTGTAATTTTCGCTAAAAACGTTTAAATTATCCGCGTTTTCGGAATTTCATTTGATGCCTGTCTCAGTCGGCTCCCACGTTCCGTCATACTTCTTTATTACATTTTTCCTTTATAGAAGATAAAAAAAATGCAAAATAATTGGAATATTTTAAAATATTATTGAAACGATAAATAATCATACTTTTATGATAATTTTATTGTCCATAATTTTCGATGATATTTGCATATTCCAACCAACATGGTTATTTTACTCGAGAGGAAAATTTGAAGGTTTTTCATTCGTGAAGGTTATTATCGATTTGTTGAGTTGAAATGTTCTAATACATTCCTCTTACTTATAAATATCATTGGTTTATTAATTTTGTAGTTAAATTATTTAATTTAGTACAAATTTATTAATAGTTTTTTTGTTAAAATATATTTCTAAAATTTAGTTTAGTTTAAAAAAAAATCATCTATAGTTTTAATTGTTAATATTTCTATTATATATTTAATTATTTATATAACATTTTCAAAATATTTTTCTATTAAATTTTCAAAACGTGTTTCATAGAATTAAAAAAAAACTATATATTTCTACATTAAGATAGTTCAGTTAATGTTAATTAAGTTTTGTTTAATTGTTAAAATTTTTAGATTTTAGATAAAATTTGAATATTATTGAAGCGATTTTTTGATTTTAATTATTGAAAAAATATAATTTTAATTATTAAAAAATGTAGTGAAATGACAATTATCTAAAAATTTGTCTTTTTTATGCTATAATTTCAAATATTGTATTTCTGCTTCTTGTTTAAATACAAACTTTCTAAAATAGGAATTCAAAGCTTCTGATCGACGTGACTTCTAACAAATAGCGCAAAGTCTATGTTATGAAAAACTATAAATTTTTACATTAAAATAGAACGTACACATGTGTAATGCATAATTCATGCACTTTACATGTTGACACAATGCATTTAATGTCAAAGCCGCTTTACGTTGAACGGCAAAACACTTAACACATTAGTTTTTTTTTTATCTTTATAACATCTTAAGACACTTCAAAATTGATTCGTCACGCAAATATTCACCTTCTTCCAAGTAAATACAAACATTTTTATAATTCCCCAATGCAAACGCGAACTAATCAACGTTAGGTTTTCGATGACTTATTGCGCCGCGCATAATGAAGTGAAAGAGATGATTAAGTATGTAAAATGTGCAGTTTAAGCTGCCACAAATCAAACACACGTTTATTTTCAAATTGAGTATGGAAATTTAATTACTAGATGCAAGTTTATAAGCACTTGAATCGGTATTTCGCAGCGGATGAAATAGAAATTCCCATTACGGCCGTTTCCTGTTTCCGGACTATAAAAGTACGCAAAATACGAATTGTATATTGAAAAGGTGAAAGTTTTTCTATTTGGGACAATGCGACAATCCGGTGGTTTCTATTTATAAAACCACGATGTTTATTGGGCCTATTTATTTCTGGAGGCCAATAAAGTTGGAATGCTTTTAACTAATTTTTTTTTCTATTTGGTTTTCAGGATGGGACCGGATGTCGAGGTGCAGGGCCGTTGGGTCAATTTGCCCGGTGGAAGGGACAGGGATGGAAGACCCATCATAACAGTGCACATTCCTCTGGATTCGAGCTGCTCCGACCTTTCGGATCCGCTCAAGTACATCCTCGGCGTCTTCAGGTATTTCGTTTTGGGGAACGATCCGTGGAATTCGGTGCAATTAAAAGCGATAATGGGAACGAGATGCTTTTACTGTATCGCTTATTGTAAAACGATGTTACCGAAAAAAACGAGATTCGGAGTCCGGTTCTGGGGACCTACTTAAGCGACACTTCCAGACATCTCACATCGGTTCACTTCTTTCTCTCTTTGCCCTTGTTTATCAATGAGTTTCATTACATACCGCCTTTTAGATTGACATTAAGAACTAATTATTAAAGCCATTATGAAACATTTATCAAATACATATTAACAATCAGTTTAACATACATTAAACAATTTTAAATTGTAAAAGTATTCTTTTGGTCAAAATTGTAGTCAATTTTAGTTAATAAATTGGCAAAGTTATTGCTAATTAATATAAAATTATTATTGTAGATAAATTGAGTGTATAGAAAGTTTTCTTTAATTAAATGTACATCTTCATTGAAACAACGATGTCAACGAAACGAAAATCTCAATTAAATCAATAGATGCGAACTACTCCGGTTTTCTATTTAAGAGAGAGGAGAAAACGCAGTTTTAGTAGATGAATTGTGCATGGAACGAGTCGAACCTTGTGCCATTTCATTTAGTATTAATTGATACACGCTGCCCGTATTTTGTAACTCCACGCGTTTAAATTATAGTCAATTACAAAAAACTAACGAAACATAAATTCTATAAATAAATAAAAATAACTGCAAGAAGTGCCAGGGTAATTGCAAACCAAAGTAATTTGCAATAAACTATTCCCATATAAAATATATTATATATGCACAACACAGTAAATCTTAGTAGTAAATATTTGCATGTACGTCAGTTTTAATGAGAAACTAATAATAACAATAATAAGTTCAATACTGTTTAATTGGACTCAAAGTCTATTTTAAGTGTGTTGTAATTGAAAGGATTTGATTGTAAATTTTGTTTTTGTTGTCGATTCAATGAAATCGCTTTAGCTTTGTTAGTAAACCAATTAAGTTTCTCGAATGAATCCGTTTTACGACTGTGTAAAAGGTGTATTAAAATTGGCAAAAAAAAAAGATGATGTTGCTGTTACTTGAGTTAGAGGTAATTGCGGTGCGTTAAACGGCGAAGATTTTCAACGAAATGCAAAAAAGGAGAAGAACCGGTCGTTAAGGATTCCGTATTTTGTAATTAGAGAAGAATCCTTCCTCCTCCGGTTGCGTAATGCGGCGCAGCTGAGTTTGAGGTCAGATTGGAAGTGGCCCCAATATAAATTTTGGAAGAGGGCGCGGCCTCTGTCTTGAGAAACGGGTTTTCTGTTGCTCTTCAACAAAGATATTTATTCACCTGTTCTTATTTTGTTTTTTTTTTTGGTGTAGCGATGTGACCCGGAAACGTGGCTTCACGATCATCGTGGACGCGAGGAAGGGCGCCTGGAGGGTAGCACGCGCCTGCATCCGACAGGTAAACTCGACCCTCTGCAAAGAGGAGTTGGCGCAGTTTTTGGTCCTTAGACCGGACGCGTTTTGGGATAAGCAAAGAGTGGAGAATTGCACGAGCACCCAGAAGGATGGACAGGTTTGAGCTACAACAAAACAATTCTTGCAATGTGAACGCATTCGCATTTGATTCGCAGGTGATCTTCGTGCCGAGAAATAGGCTGCACAAATACGTCGACCTGTCGCAGCTTCCGATCGAGCTGGGCGGTAATTTCATATTCAACTCGGATCAATGGTTCGACACGAGAACGGTAACAGATTAACCACAACTAAATACAATAACAATGATTAAACACTGAATTTTTAGAAAGCCGACGAATTTCTGCACGAATCGGTGTCCTGCTCCAGAAACCTGGATGAGGTTCAGCAACGCATCTCGAATCTGTACAAACTGAGCGCTAGTCAAATCCAAACCAATCACGCATCCGAAATCGAGAAGCTGAACATCCTCATCATAACCACCAACAATTGCATAGATAAAGGTATTTTATTTATTTATTTATTTCATACCAAAGACTATAACATGAAATATAATGACTTTATTTGCTGATTAATTTTCATCTCTTATTGAAATGATCAGAACGGTATTTTTTTGATATGATAGTTAATTGAGTTTCCAAGAAGTTTCTTGATTATAAATTTAAATATTTTTATATTCCTAGGAACATAGTTTGTTGATGAAAGCAAATTATTAATTAAAAGTTAATTATATTTTTTAAGTAAACAATAATAACAGTAATTAAAATTTGTTTGTAGGTAAAGATATAATCAAGAGAATCGAATACAACGACAGGAATAGGAAACTGGCGTCCGAAACCGATTCTATGCCAACTCCACAAGACGCTTTGGATACTATAGAGAGACTGGACATACGATTGGAAGCGTTGAAGACCGGTCTAATATCAATTGAACAAACCAAAAGATCGCTGACGAAGACATACTTCGATACCAAAGACTTACATCATCTCGAGGAAGGTATAGTCAGAGTTACGAATTGGATCTTGGGACCTGCGGAAAGTCTCCTGAAATCTCGCCATAAAGTGGGGTACGATGTTTCCTCTGCAGAAGAATTGAGGAGAGAGCACGAAGGAATCGAACTGCAATGCTGGAATGCGTATGGAGCGTACGCGGAGCTTGTACATAAAATCGATAATTTCTCTGGAAGCGATTTCTTGACTGTTCAGCAGAAGGATCTGATAAGCCAAAAGGATTTCATGGATTTCGTATGCCGAAGTTTCGCTACACGCTTGGAAAGGAGAAGGAATATTTTGATTACTTCTTTGAGGTTCTTCAGATTAGTTTCTGAATATTTCGATAGGACTGGAGAGGTTTTCGATTCTTTGGTCATGGGAAATAAGATTGGTGATTTCGCAACGGCAGGGCAGAAGCTTAAGGAGTTGCAGGAGAATCAATCGACGCTAGGTTTGTTTTTATAATTAATTGTTATTAGTTGAATGATTGTATTGTTTTCTTTTTAGATTGCGTTGAGCGTGAGCTGGTTAAAGAAGGAGAGAAGTTGTCGGATATGTTGTCAATGCCTATTAAAGACGCTTTGGGGAGGGAAGTTTTGGCCGATTACTCTGAAGATATTATCAATATCAGGGATATTTTGAATGCGACTACTGCGAGGAAGAATATTTTTGGTGATAGCGTCGAACTGCAGAAATTGACTTTGGAGCAGGTCACGCATATCTATCAGTACGAGAAGGATGCTGCACAAGCTTTGGAGTGGTTGGATGAGCTGTTTCAAGTGTTGTTAAAGCACCACGGGCACGTAGGGTGCACGGTTTACGAGATTCAAGCGCAGAAGGATGAACACCAGATGTTCCAAGAGACCGCCAAGGTTCATTTTATCTTAGATTATCCTCAGCTATTAGATGGTAATTGTTTGATTGTTTTTAGTGCACTTTCAATTACGGTTACCAATTGCTTGGAGCTGCTGCGGCTTTGAGATGTTCCTGCAAAATTCAGATGGAGGAAAACGAGCAACTGGGGATGGGTCTTCGGAACTCTTGGGAACGACTGCTGAATGTCAGTCAGGAGCAGATGACGCGTTTGAGGGTGTCCGCGGTCTTCCACAGATCCGTCGAGGAGCAGTGCAATCAGCTGCGGGATCTTAGGGAAGCCGTCGCGACCATCCCTCTGATGGACATCAACAGGAAGAGGGCTCGTGTCAAGCATTATTTGGGGGTGCGCGAGCGGCTGATGGTAGAGGTGGGAAGGATGGTCAGATTGGGCAGATTGCTGAGAAGCAGACTTCGGGATGCGCTACATTTGGATGAGACGTGAGTGAAGTTTTATTTCTTTCTTTTTTTTTCGAGGGAATCGAAGTGTACGAAGTATTAAGAGAACACGCATAAGTTTGTATCTGCCGAGTGCGTCTGTCTGCCTGTAGTATTATATAGCGTTGGGTGCGTTTCGTGGAGATGAGATGAGAGTGCACGAGTGTGAGTGATTCTAAATTTTGAAACGGTTTTGGTAGAAGGGGAAGCTGAGTACTCAGTGGCGGACCAACAGGCCCGAGTTCAACATCTCGAAAAAAACCGGGTAAGAATTTTCAAAAGCAAACAAAATCCTTCTTGAGGCGAAACTTTTCAACAATCTGCTAAAAAGAATAAAGAAACGCGCATCCTTTTAAGAACTGTAATAAAAAAAAAAATATCGCTCCAATTCCTGTGCGGCTTCCGAAATTTTCTATTTCCATAAGGTTATTAAACCCAAGCATTCACGAGGCCGCATTTTCGCTTTTCCGACCCATTGTTTTTCCATCCTGAGAGTGTTTTGCTTTATTTTTTCCGCTTATTATTATGTGTGTGTATGCGGTTGTGTTTCCATCGTTTTTACGTGTGCAATGCACTTTTATTTTCAGAAGGTTGAAGCTTTATATAAATTTAGCGATCGCTTCACTAATGTAAACACAGATTGGGCGAAACGATTATTTTTAAACCGGCCCCTGTATTTCTGGAGTTTTGCGGAAACGGACGGTTATATCCAAACCATCCAGGATTGTACAAATCCAAGTGCGTTACGTATTCCAAAAATCATTCAAAGATTTAACAGTTTACAACAGTCTTTCCAACTTCTCTTTATTATTTTTATATCAACTATTAAGTAAAATGTTTATTCAATTTCTTTAAATATTAAGTTAATGTTTATTTAACATCAATATTTAAATATTTTGATTAGGAACATAAACGAGATCTTTTTGAGAATCAAACATTGTTTGAAGACGTACTTCTCAGTGAATATAAATAATATAGCTGATATTAATTAATTTTCATTAATTAATTGAAACTTTGATGAATGAAATTAATCATGTTTGAAACTTTAATATAATTAATTATTTTAACTTTATGAAAATTTTACTAAATAATGCTTATTCATTAATTAATTTCTTCTGTTATAAAAAATGATTTTAAGATTTATCACAGAAATTTCAACGGTTTTGAATATTTCAATTTCATGAAATTTTTTTAATAAATTTACAATTTGAATTGATTGTAATTTAAGAAATTTGTAATTTATGGTATTAACTTAAGAAGTTACTAAATATAAGTTATGAGAAATCAGAAATTTGTTATTTCTTGCGTGAAAATGTTGAGAGAATATCGTCTCTACAAATAAACATGCGCTTCTCATTCCAAGCACTTTGAAATTCGGCCAATTAACAGGTGTGTTTTTGATTCGAGCGAAAAACCTTGGAATCCCCTCTAAATATTATCGTTTCCGTGCATATTATTATGAAATAGCTCTTCGAGGAGAATAAAAAAAAAAAAGGAAAACATCGTGGAGATAGATTACGCAAGAGGCGACCGACAGTGGGTCATCTCGAACTCTAAAAGTGGGATCTTGTCCAGCAGGAAACGTGCGGAGCTGGAAGAATGCAGAACGGCTAAAGATAGCTGCTTCTGCAGCTGTCCTCCCGGATTTCTCTTTTAATTTTATTTCTTTCTTTCTTTCCATTGATCCAGTCTGAATTGAAAGCATTGTCCGTGTTCTTCGTCTTTTTTGCAGAATGTCAGAGGCGACGGCGAGGAGCGATTCAGATCACGCCGAATGCGAGAATGCTACAGCCGTTGAAGCGGTTTCAGAGCGACTCACGGAGGTCACCAATTTAGCCGAAGAACTGGACCAGACGCTGAAGAGCGCGCAGCAGGATTGTGCAATTTCACCTGCAGCCACGACACTTCCCATACCGATAGCAGGGGCGCACAGGAAGGACCATCAAGATGAGGTAATTTAGTAGAAGCCGAAAAATTCACCTTTACAATCCCATGAATGTTTCCTAAAGCGAACGCAAAAGTGTAGTCTAATAAAACAAAAAAAATCAGAATCCTCTAACGATACCTGAAACCTAGTCACAATTTAACTCGAGAGTAGCAAGTAATCATTCCAACAAAATAAAGAACTAATCAATTTTTCGTTATGCTAATTATTATTAGTTCGATTTACATACGAGAAAGTGGTTTCACCAAAACCAGCGTAATCCAACCTGTATATTATGCAGCCAATCGTACGCATTTTTCCTGCAAACGAATTCATTAAATCTTTCGCACATTATCAACAATCATGCAGAAATGGAACTTTGTCTCATATCAAATTATTTGAATCGTAAATAAATCAGAACAAAACTTAAACTCCCATCAAACGTTATTTGTTTTTTCGAATCCTATCTTGGTTTAGCATTTTCAATTGCTCTAAAGTTTCCGGTTACAGCGAAGAACGTCATTCTTTCGTGTTATGTGTCTGGTTGCTTCTCTTTTCTTATTTATTTTGGTGGTGTATATTTAGAGATTAATAGGCAATATTTTGGCAGGGTTTGCGAAACGCGCGGCCAAAGTCGTCGTCGTTCGTTTTCTTTTCAAACACTTCCAACAAACTTCGATCGCTTTCTAATATAATTCGTTACGTAACATACGTCCAATTAATCGCGTTCCCGAACCGTTTTTCTATTAGAGTGGGAGCTTTCACGCGTTGATACCGCCTTTTTAATTGATCCTTTATCAGTTTTGCACTTTTGCACTTTCCAAAAATTGATTTTTAATGAGCGCAATTCGAACGTGAATTATTTAACCGGTAATTGGACCGTTGGTTATTTTCACGTAATTAGAATATCAAATGAATGAAGCACATTCACAAAGATTATATTTACCTACGCGCTCGTAAATTTCAATTGATGTTGCTTTACAACAAACTCACAAAGTTTCAATTTAAATCTCGGGCACGTGCCCGCAACATTCTTGTCCAAATAGTTAAATCTCAGCTTCCAAAAAAATTAAATGAAATTTTTTTCTTTGATTTATTTAGAAGTTATTTAAAACTTGGAACATTTGAATTTTATATTATTTTAACTCTTTGATGTTTTATTGCAATTATATTTATTTATAAATTATTATTACATTTAATGTTTAATGATTTTATTAAAGTTATAATAACCAAAATATTTTTTTTTAACTTTTTTAGATATTGACTTTACTCAGAATTAGTAAACTATTTAACATAAATAAATTTTTATTTTCTATTTATATTAATGAATTGTTTATGGAGAATTCGTTTTTTATAATTCATCAATTTAAAAAATAACTTTCATATTTTCTCTTAGTTAGTATTTTATGAAATTATACTCATTTTATTGATGAAAATCGTTTTTTTTAAGAAATTAGAACAAATTAAGTAATTTTATTTGTATTCACTTCTCTTTTTAATGTTTCCACATCTTTTTTCATATTTACTTTGAATCTCAAATTTCAATTTATGGAAATGTACACCAAACATTTTAAAGAAATTAACGAAGTTTGTTACAAAACTTCATTTCCTTAAATTCCTTTGGAATTAAATTCATATTTGCTTTTACTTTACATTTATTTTATGAAATTATACTCATTTTATTGAGGAAAATCGTTTTTTTTTTTAAGAAAATAAAGCAAATCAAGTAATTTTATTTGTATCAAGTTTACTTTTTAAATGTTTCCACATACTTTTTTCATATTTACTTCGAATCTTAAATTTCAATTTACGAAAATGTACACCAAACATTTTAAAGAAATTAACGAAGTTTGTTACAAAACTTCATTTCCTTAAATTCCTTTGGAATTCAATTCATATTTGCTTTCAGTTTACAATTATCGAAAAAAGCTCATACATATTTTCTCAATTTTCTCTACAACTGATTTATATACACATATTCCAATACTTTCTTCATTAACATACCGTGCTAACACATAATTTACATCGATTTTATAAAATCCATATTCTGCGCGAATAAGAAAATATAACATAACTGTAAACTCTTTAATTTTTCACATTAAAACCAGATAATTACAAAAGATATTTATTAGTCCACATAGTTTTTATTATATTAACCTTTTTAATTGTTTCGTCGATTGAATTTAATGCATTTTGATATTGAAACATATTGAAATTTATATTAATTTATTCATTTTGAAATTGAATTTATAAAATAAATAATTATATCAAATTTTTCTTGATCCAAATTACTTCAGTTGATAATCGAATTCTGAATAATCTAACTTATTTAGATTTTTAATAATTTAAAAAAACTAGGTAACTAATTCATGAATTAAATATAATTTAGTATTTTTAAATTTTTCTCTTAAGTACACATTTTTTTCATTTAATTAGCTAAAACATTAGTATTTAGTTTAGTGAAAATATTAAAATTTGAAGCTGTTATGAAATGATGAAAAGTGTAGTAATAATAAGACTGTGATTATAATGACAATAATATTTCTTTATTTGTTTTATCGTAACAAGAAGATATTGAGTTGGGTGGGGGCTGAGGGTTGGTGGTAGAGTTAAAGTCGAGGGAAGCTTAGGAAGACGATTAAACTATATACATGTAGCAACAAAAAAAAACATTATACGAGAATTAAAGGAGATAACAAAAGGTTACAAAAGATGGCATAGAAGTCGTGTTCTTTTTTTTGTATGGCTCTCTCAATATCCACCTCCTCCACCACCGCCTCCATGATGTGTGGGTCCATGGTAGTTGGTCTCGGCGTGGGCGTACTGCTGACTGCTGGACTTTCCGTGCACCTCGTATCCTCGCTTACCTTCCTCGTGCTTGGCGTGACCCTCGAACTTGACGTTGTAGTGGATTCCGTGCTTGTCGGCGTGGTATTCAACGATACGCTTCCTACCATCCGGTTGCAAGAAGCTGTAAGATCCCTTGGTGTTGTGTCCCTCTCTGGCCTCCCACTGATCCTTCACGTCATGGGTGTGTTGGTCGTGCACTCCGTAATGGTAGTTGTAATGAGGATGAGACTAATACACACACAAATGAATATAATTGAAACTATTTATCAATTAAATTACCTGGAAATCTTTGTACTCTTCCAAATGCTTGTGGTGTCCATAATCACCGATCTGGGCATAAGCTGCAGAGGCGAGGATGGCGAAAGCCTGAAACAAGCAACAGAAAAAACAGAGAATTACAAACTGTTGTTCGTGTTATTATCGAATGCAGCTCACAATGATGTATTTCATGTTTGTGCTGTTGATCTGAACTGATAACTTCTGCAGTCTGCGCCCAAGTATTTAAAGCGATTTGCCCCCAACGTGAAAGGTGCTTACTTAACGCGGATCACGCAACGGGGCTGCTTTCTTGTGGAACGAAGCAGTTTAGAAGTTACAAAAAAAATATAAATAGTAATAATGTATGGCAATATTCATATATGTAATATTACGATAATTAGGCTGCATGTTTAACGAGCAAAACCCGCCCGACAAATAAGACAAGACGACTTCGATACGCAACTGTACGCATACCTTAATATCTCAAGATATTTGCATTGTTGACGACAGTCCCGTTCCGACTTCTGACCCGACTCTCGCTACCACCAAGATCCACGCAAAGTTTACATCTATGTAAGTGCATGTTTCTGACTATCAAAAATCAGTAAATTAAATTCATTATAATCGAAATAACATATAATAAGACTTAATATTCTCTTCAAATACTTGAAATTATTATTGAATAGATTATTTAATAATCATGACTGTTGATAACTTATTCTTCTAATAAGTCCATCAGTAATTAAGTTTACAAAATACCATTTCCTGTTAAGAGAGGAAACACTCAAGGTGTGATTGGAATTCTAACTAAAACATTTTAAAAAATATTAATAAACTAGCAATGATTATTCAAATTAACAACATGCAAATTCTATACGAAATCGTTTTATACATTAATAGATATAATTAAAAATAATCCTAAGAAATTTCAATTTTACTCTTAGTTGAATGTTTAGTAAATGTGCGTTAATTATTTTTTAATATATTTTATTTAGCAAGCAAGAAAATAAGTAATTATTTACTAAAATTAGATTTGAAATATTTGTAAAATACAAACATGAAATTTCGAACGAGAGTTAAAATTATCAGAAATTCCAGTATATTCAGAATCATGACTTTCCTCAATAAGTTTTATTATTTATTCCTTCAGAATTTAATTACAATTTTCTGAATATTTATAAAACATAAAATGAAAATTGTGTTTCTTTAAGATAAATGAAATTACCTTATTTATTTTAAACAAATTTTAACAAAGAAATCTATAAGAGTTGAAGTACTTAATAAATGAGATTTATGATAATATATAAACTAATTACAAGGCTATTCAATTCTAATTAAATTTACAAAATATCTTAATTACATAAATATTTCTTCATGAAAAATAACATCGATTTTTTTTTTAAATGTTTCGAAATCTTTGAACTCGTAGCAAATTTTCAATGATTGCTTTCCGTTCCAAATTGCAACAGACATATTACAATGTTGAGGCTTTTGCGAGGCGCTTATAATAAGTCATTCCGAAAATACTTTTTGCGCCAATGAGCTCGGATTTACGTCGTCAGCAAGGCCGATCTTTTAATTTTCAATAAATTTTCAAATTATTTTATTTTTTTGAACCAAATTCGTATTTTTAGACCGGTTAATATTAGTTCGGCAAATGTACGAGTAATTCTAGAAAATCAGAATTACTGGTATTTTCAATTGAATGAATTTTACTCTATTACAATAATAAAATATAATTTAATATTTCAGAAAAGTATAACAAGACTTTTTTTTTGCTAATGTTAATAATTATGTATAATAACGAGTTTGGTAATTAATTTGTTATTATTCATATGATAAAAGTTCAAAAAATTAATAATGATAACAAGAATTTGCAAGTTTTTAATAATCTTATAATTTAACATAAAAACGTACATTTCTTGTTATATTTTGTAATCTTCAAAAACAAGTTACATAATTATTATCAAATAATATGAAGTTTTTACTAATTATATCAACTACCTAGCGTTTTATTAAATTTTACAAAATTAAGCTAGAAATGTTATTTTCAAGTTGTGGTCAAATTTAACTTTAATTAAACAATTTGAAAGTTGTTTATTTATAAAATGTTCGTTTTCAAACTAAATTTTGAAGGTTTTTCTGTTTATTTATTGCTTTATAGATAACTAGGAACGTAATTGAAACATTGATTGAACTCTTTAGTTGTTGTCTTGTAAAGATTGAATAAGATGAAGTAATGATGATGATGATGAAGGGTTTTGGAGTAAAACATTTTGTTTTTATAAATGAAACATTCTTTTATTGAACAATATCATACAACAAGAAACGAAGAGGTATAGAAGAGGTTTTTAACTATGTACATGAGGAAATATAAACAAAGATATTAACAATAGAAAATTATTAACAATTTATAAGTGGATTTAGTGATGATGACTGCCGATTTCATGACCGTGTGTGATGTAACTTGCGTAGCTGATGGCTCCGTGTCCACCGCCTCCGCCTCCACCTCCTCCTTCGTGTCCATGACCTCCGCCGCCGCCGCCTCCACCACCTCCCTCATGTCCATGTCCTCCTCCACCGCCTCCTCCTCCATGAATTGGTCCGTGGTAATTGGTGGTGGCCAAATGGTATTGTTGGCTAACGGATTCACCGTGGTGTCCTCCACCGCCTCCTCCGCCGCTTCCTCCATGTCCTAATCCTCCACCTCCATGACCGTATCCACCGCCGCCGCCTCCTCCTCCTCCTCCACCATGTCCATGTCCTTCACCACCTCCTCCTCCGCCTCCTCCATGTCCATGTCCTTCACCACCTCCTCCGCCGCCTCCTCCACCATGACCATGTCCTTCACCACCTCCTCCTCCGCCGCCTCCTCCGTGATGAGTAGGTCCATGGTAATTGGTCACAGCGTGAGCGTACTGCTGGCTACTAGATTTTCCATGAACATCGTATCCACGCTTTCCTTCCTCGTGCACCGCATGCCCTTCGAACTTGACGTTGTAGTGGATTCCGTGCTTGTCGGCGTGGTATTCAACGATACGTTTCCTTCCATCGGGTTGAAGGAAGCTGTAAGAGCCCTTGGTGTTGTGCCCTTCCCTAGCCTCCCATTGGTCCTTCAGATCATGAGTGTGAGTATCGTGCACCCCGTAATGGAAATTGTAGTGAGGATGCGACTGATAATCCTTGTACTCCTCCAAATGATGGTGTCCTCCACCTCCTCCTCCACCACCACCGCCGTAATCACCATGCTGTGCGCTGACAGCAGCGAAAAGAACAAAGGCCTAAAGATAATAAGAAAAATAATAATTATTATTACAAAAATATAATCATTGAATCTGGACTTACTGCAAGGATCCTCATGATTGGAAGGAAACCAATGTGATGACTGAACTGACCACTGTTGGTGAACACTGTAGTATATAAAGGGGCTCAGCGTGAAAGGTGGTGGAGCCCCAGGTGCGTTTTTTTTCGAAACCTCTTTCGCGCCCGTAATTACGGCGCGCGCTCATTAGAGACCCGGTTTCCTGACCCGACGATATCACCAGTCTCTCGCTCCATCATAGTTTCCTCGTATTAAATAATTTTCGTGCCGTGTATGATTAGAGAAAGACAATTTTACGTATAAATTATCCCATACACATATCCTTTTATTGATTACCATATCATTCGACATTAAACGCTCCAGCAAACGCAGTTTTTGTAAAATAAGTTAATAACTTTAATAAATAATGAATGAATTCTTTTGTTGAACAGGAAACGTGTCACTCAGTTCGCTATATGCGCGCTGAAGATGGAAAATCCGACGACGAATTCTTGACTGCCTCGGACTGCACGCTGCAGCACTCCAGATCCTCTTCGTACAACACCGCCTCCGACTGCGAGCATCTGTACGCGCCGTGGTGGGATTACGGAAAGGACGATTGCAGGGATGATCTTGCCAAGGAGAAGATGGTTCTGGCCGTCGGTTTACCCGAATTACCGATAGCCTCTTCGGTGCTTCGACCATCCCCCGAAGTGCCGCCAGGTAAAATCGCCAGAGAGGTGACGGAAACGACGCACATCAAGGTCCAGCAGTGCCATACGTTCGGGGTGAAATCTTTCGTTCTGACCTCCGAAACCGTGCGAGAAAAAGGCGAGCTGAAAGAAACCGCTCCATTGGAACAGACCCCCGTCTACGAGGAAGACGATTTCGCTTCCAAGCTGAAGGAGGTAGGTTGGAAGGGCTGCAAATACAAGCAGGCTCTTCGCAGCTGCATCTAATCTCTGTGTGTGTGTTTTATTTTTGAGCCCAACTAACCATGTAGAAAGCATGTCACGTTACGCAATTAACTTGCGCATTTGTTTTTGTTTGTTCTTTATTTTACTTATTTTATTATTATTATTAACTATTAATTATTTTATCTATATATGTATCTGCTGTTTTCCATATTATATAGTTTATCGTGTTATTAATTATATCAAATACATTCAGTTTTGTCGTTTTCTCTCGATCACTCGCTGAAGCAGGTAAGTGCTATTTTGTATTTTCGCATTTACATTATTTCCAATCTCTCTCTTACACTCATTTGCGGTTCATTTGCTGTATCCAACGTGCAATTGGAAATAGAACGTTCTGTTTGTGCCAAATCCAATCTCACCGTGTGCACCGAAACATATTTCGGACCCAAAATGAAACTCACCAAAAATCATCATGCGTTTATATTCGGACTGTAAACAAACGGATTGCATTAGCGTTAACGCATCAATGAACTTTCTGCATCGCTATTTTCAATCTGAATATTTATAAGAAACAGTATATTCTTTTTTAGCATATACAATTTTACATAATTACAATATACATTATTAACCATAATTAATAATTTTCTAAAGTTTCATGCAAATTTCTTGAAGATTTCCAATAAGATAATTATTATTCACAATAAGAAAAATCTTAGTACAATTTTATTCAAATCAACAAGCTGGAAAATCTAAAATAATTTACTTATTTATTTTCACATTAAAATTATACAGCAAAATCAGTTTTTGCATATTGAAGAATTACAAAATTGTTATAATTTCTCTTGTTTTAAATGAATATTTATTGTTTTCTTCATTTTCATATATATTATGTTAAGAGAATCGCAAAGTGGTAAATAAAAGCTTGTCCTCTTTGTGACCACGAGACGATAAAGCGAAGAGTAGCAGAAACAAAGGTTTTTCTTTTAAATGTGAAATAAAAATCTCGTTAGACAAAAAATCTTAGTACAATTTTATTCAAATCAACAAGCTGGAAAATCGAAAATAATTTAGTTATTAATTTTCACATTAAAATTATACAGCAAAATCAGTTTTTGCATATTGAAGAATTACAAAATTGTTATAATTTTTCTTGTTTTAAGTAAATATTTATTATATTTTTCATTTTCATATATATTATGTTAAGAGAATCGCAAAGTCGTAAATAAAAGCTTGTCCTCTTTATGACCACTAGACGATAAAGCGAAGAGAAGCAGAAACAAAGGTTTTTCTTTTAAATGTGAAATAAAAATCTCGTTAGACAAAAAATCTTAGTACA